GTTAAAATGACTTTATCGTCACCGATAAGTACAAATTGCCACAGAAATATTAAGCTTAAATATTAAGCATGTAATTCACCGAGAGTTATTTTTCTCCCACACGCTGCAAATGCATCATTACCCATGTGGAAAAGAAATAGAAAAGACTTGCATCAGATGTGGCCTACTTCATATCGTGAGTCATATCAGGCTTATATGACTCATCAAAGTGGCCACTTTCTCATTACTTTCATATATTGTTTTAGGAAGTATCCAAAACAAGTTTATTTTATATAATTTTTCTAGGGGTCTTATCTGTTTTCACTCTTGTATGCTTTTCATACAAGTTTCACACGAGACAGATACAAACTTTATAAGATTTATATCGTTTCCATATGGGAGACCCATACTTTCTACCTGCACAGAGCATGTGTGTTTATATCCTAGTGGTAAAAATATGGTGACAGCGGGAGTTTCAGACTCGCTGTCGAACAAAACGCTGCTAAAGGCAGCAGGACCTGTGCTGCTGTACCAGCCACTGCAGAGTGTTTTAAACTCATCCCGTCTCCACACAGCTGTGCCTGCTCAGCTGGTTTTATCGTCACTGTCTTTTGTTTCTGTAATTTGACGTCATCGCATTTGTATTTTATAATATTTATATGTTATACGCACGAAAAGCACCTTTGTAACTTCAGCTGTTTTATTTCGTGTCGTGTGTTTGTCGACAGACGTCTGCTCTGTGTGTGTTTTTAATTCATTCAGACTTTTTGTATTTAAAGTAGAAAGAAATATTGAATGGTCACTACACGATACCAGTGCAACTTTGGGCACTTTATGGTTGAAAATAACATTTGTTTTTGGAGGTTATTTAAACATATGGTGACGTATGTCGCTGCTTCTGCTGCTGCCAGAAGAGGATGAAGAAGCCTGGGGTGGATGTTGCAGTGCTACTCAGATCCCAGTGTCTGTCCCACTCTGAGTTTTCATTTGATCCTTTTATTCTGAAGGATCTCGCTTCAGGTGGAAGCACTCCACTTCCTTCAGAAGCCTGTATGACAGACGTTTTAGTGCCTCCTTAGCTGATGATACCACAGAGTTTTTCAAAGACTTCACGACTGGGGTGAGAGTGACGGCCATTAACTGTATGAAACTGATCGCTGAGTTCAATGATAAAGCGCTGAGTGTGTTTCAGTTTCTGATGTTCCTGCTCTGAGACTTGGATGGATGACCCATGATGAGCAGGAGCTGTAGCTGGACACAGGCGGCGTTTCACGGAGC